TTAAAGATTTTGTTGAATCAAAAATCCCCACCAAAGCACGACCGATTCAAATGAACCAAGAAGTTTTAGAGTTTTGTAAGATTGAAATTAATCAACTTTTAGAAAAGGGAATTATCCGTAAAAGTAAATCTCCATGGTCTTGCCCTGCTTTTTATGTCTAGAAAAATGCAGAATTAGAATGTGGCGTTCCACGATTAGTTATTAACTACAAACCTTTGAATGATGTTCTAGAATGGATCCGATATCCAATCCCCAACAAAAGAGATTTGATAAAAAGACTTTCTCAAGCAACTGTCTTTTCCAAATTTGATATGAAATCAGATTTTTGGCAAATTCAAATTCATAAATCTGATAAGTACAAAACAGCTTTTGTGACTCCTTTCGGACACTATGAGTGGAATGTAATGCCTTTCGGCTTGAAAAACGCACCAAGTGAATTTCAAAATATTATGAATGAGATTTTTAATCAATACAGCCATTTTTCGATTGTTTATATTGATGATGTATTAATTTTCTCAAAATCAATAGATGAGCATTGGAAGCATTTGCATACATTTGTTAGGATCGTTAGGTCTAATGGGTTAATCGTCTCGGCATCTAAAATTAAGTTATTTCAAACCAAAGTTAGATTTTTAGGATACCATATTTACAGGTCTACCATTCAACCAATTGATCGAGTCATCCAGTTTGCTGATAAGTTTCCAGACCAAATTATTGATAAAACTCAGCTTCAGCGATTCCTTGGATCTCTCAATTATGTTTCAGAATTTTATCCTCATCTCCGTCAACAATGTAAACCTTTGTTTGATCGTCTCAAGGAGAATCCTCCATCATGGTCTCAAAATCACACTTCCATTGTCAAACAAATAAAAAATCATGTCAAGACTTTGCCTTGCCTTGGCATTCCAACTCCCAATTCTCTCAAAATAGTTGAGACTGACGCATCCGATGTCTGTTATGGAGGTATCCTCAAACAGAAAACTTCTTCCGAATCTCCTTAACAAATTGTTCGTTTCCATTCAGGAATTTGGAATCCGGCTCAACATAACTATAGTACTATTAAAAAAGAGATTTTATCAATTGTATTATGCATTAGCAAATTCCAAGATAATTTATTAAATCAAAAATTTTTAGTTCGTGTTGATTGCAAATCTGCAAAACATGTTTTACAAAAAGATGTTCAAAACATTGCATCAAAACAAATTTTCGCACGCTGGCAAGCCGTATTAAGTATTTTTTATTTTGAAATTGAATACATTAAAGGCAGCCAGAATTGCATACCAGATTTCCTGACCAGAGAATTTTTGCAGGGGAAAAATGACTACTAATCCTACTCAGCAACGACGGCTCCCAGCCACCCTTTCCCAAACCCCAGCACCAGTAAAACAAGAGTCTTTTCCCGACTCTTCATCGGCCCTCGCCATTACAAACAGATTCACTCCATTAGGATCCACAGTAGGAAATATCCGACCAAATTACCAAACAGCTTTAGCTACTCCTTTTGATCCTTACTCTTCAGTACGTTCTCCAACACCTTCACAACCCAAAACACCTAGCTATGCTAAAACTTCTCCATATATCCAAAACTCCACTACTGAAAAGTCTTTTTGCATACCTCTTGACATTGATAAAAATCAACCTCCAGAACGCATTGCTAAACTGCTTTTGCCCCCAAATTCTCACTATCTCCCAGCAGCACCATACAAAAGCCTCAAATACTACCAGGCCATTCTCTCTGAGACCGAAAGTATTGCTATTAAGCCAATTTACAGCACCACTCACCAAAATAAAATTTTATACCATTCACTTCATATTGGAAAATTTCTCATTGAACAAGATTGGGGTCTCCCCCTTTTTCATACCAAACCCCTTCACACCCAGCATGTTCTCATACCGAACAACAATTACAATTATTATGATTACATTCAAGCTTGGACTAATATTTTTCTTCATCAGACGGAAGATTTTAGTCATTCATGGTTCGTGACCTTTGATAAAAGTTTCAGATTGAGATTCCCAGCATGGTTTCCAGACTGGTGGGCTACTCATGGCCCAAATATTTCCCTTGTCCCTGAAGATCTTCGTCAAGTACTAAACAATAGTTTCAAGACTGGTTTTGACCGCAGCCGTTTTGACAGCCGGGTTTCCTTATTCTCTTTATTCATGGCCAAATACAAAGTTCCATGGATCTTAAAATGGAATTTCCAGTTAGACAACGGAGGAATTTTCAGGACCCGGTGGGTGAAATGGTGGGACAAATTCAACTACCAAAAGATTATTGATCTAGTTCGTGCTGAATTTCCCCAGAGTTCGTCCCCAGCAATTGCTGCATCTTCTTCGCAGGCCTTGCCAGATACTCAGCAATTTCCTGAACTCCCGAAAGCTCAAGAACCAGTTCAATCTCTATCAGACATTAGTCTATCCTCCTCCCTCAAAGGAAAGACCAAGTCAACCAAATCCTCTAGCTCGAAGAAAGAAAAATCTTCAAAGACTACCCAGCTTCTGGACTTGGCCCAACAGCTCATAGCCGAAGCAGCAATGCTCCAGAAAAAGAAAGATTCCGACTCGGATTCTGACGCTTCTGATGCAGGGTCTCAACCTCCCGCCAATTGGGCTGATCAAGTGGACCTTTAAGATGCTCAAGATCCGTTCGATTTTTGAAACTGCTTTATTTGCCCATGTAATTGTATCAGCCAAACAACATCATCAGTAGTAGCTGCTATCATCTCTTCCGCAAAAGACAAGACATTATTCTTCAATAGTGAAAAAACAAAAAGGTCACTGTTCATCTAACTTTTGTAAAAATAACAACGTGATTCCACAGTAAAGGCATCATCAACAGTGAAAAAGAAAAAAGTCACTATTCATTCAGCTTTTGTAAAAGTAACAACGTGACTCCACAGTAAGGATTCATCAGTCAGCCAGCTTTGCCAGCTTTCTCCTCTTGCCAGCGGGATTCCCGGATTAAAATTGCATTCCTCAATCATTCTCCTCCCTCTATAAAAGAGGAATTCATCTTCAGAAGAAGCACGGGTTTTTTAACTCAATAGCTCAGTTCAAGAATACATCTCTCTGCTTATCCACAAAGGACAGAGATTATTTTCAAACACTTGTAATATATATATTATTCAGGATGCCTGCGAGCTCCACCTTGTTTACTTGTTTCATCTGCCATTAGAAAATACTTGTTTGTAATCTGCATTGCAGTAAGTTTTCAATAAAACTTATTTTCCAAATATATTTGCATCATTACATTTAATTCATTATTTTCATGGAATTATCTTCTATAATTAATTTAATTCTTTCTTTCCACGTTATTATCAGTCATCCATGGATGTTTCTTTTCAATCAACCTGAGTTCTTTTTAATTCAATATATTGATATGCTTCTTTGTTTTTATATGCTTTATTTCCGCACTCTTAATTCTATGGACGGCTTTGCCGCCTGCTGTTGTTAGTTCCTCCCCATTTGGTATCTATATATATATATATATATATTAGTCTTTTGTCCTTATTATTAAATAAAGTTAATGGATGATTTTTAATTAAAATGTAAAGATTTGAAACTATTTTCATTAGTTTTCTTTTCTTTTAATGCGCATGCAAAATCAGCAGAATTGCATTCTAACAAAAAGTGTGAGCTATAATTCATAATCTTTAGTTAATTGCGCCATTATACTAAAATCATTATAAAACCTCTTCTCGTGAAATTTTGATCCAACCTTAAACTTCCTAAAATTTTCGACAAAAATAAAAAATTGCCTAAAATTCATACATGCAGGACTTTAGATATTCAAGCTGCCAAAAGTTTAGTCTACGTTTTGGGTCATTTATATTGATTTTTCTATTTTCCAACTTAAAATTTCAATCTAAAAAATATTTTTTTGAATCAATAATTAGTAAGACCGCTTCCAAATAGTTTTTAACATTTTTCTCAATCCTTATGCAAAAGATTTTGGAAAATATCAACAGTTGGATGTTTCACAAAATCTGTAAAATTATTATTAGGGCATCTCTAGAGATGAAAATATGTACGTTTTCCTTCTCCGGTGACATCTTTATAGGAATGCTTTAAGATGTAAACATTTTTGCTCCATTGATAAGATGCAAACTCTTGATAGATAGGTAAACATTTTCATTCATCAAATTAATTTTGATAAAATTATCAATTGAGCTAAATTATTACCAGCCCACCTGTTTACTCTTAAAATTAATTAAACATGCTATTGGGGAAAAGACAAAGGTTGGAATGAAGAATGTAAAAAATTTCATGTTAAAAAATTGAAAATAAAGTAAAACATATAATGAACGATTCTACTATTAAGTTACTAACTACACCGAGACATTTTGTGGTAAAATACCCCACCTGATGTACATGCAGTTGGAAATCGTTGATTAATAGTGGGATGTTGGTCCCTCAAATTAATACTGAGAAATACTATGTACATGTGTTATGTTACCTCACACATTTGAAAGTAAAATGTACAAATTCGCACTACTGACTTTCACACTCATTTTTAAGTCTCATGCACTCCTCTGTTACAGCAGAAAAATATTGAGTTTAAAGTGTAGAAAGCTAAACGAAGAGTGCAAAAACCAAAACTCATCTTCCTTGAAGTTGGGAAGTTTGGAGGCTTTGGAGTAGCTAATCATCTGCCTTGAAGTAGCCAATCATCCTCTTGAAATCAATTGGGGATTGAGAGATGCAGCAACCACCTTGATCAGCACCTCATCTTCCTTAATTTCAGGAACAGCCACATTTGGATCAAACTTCAAAACATCTGCAGAGTCCGTAACCCAGGCCTTGTATTCAGATGGTACGGAAATTGCATCACTTGAAGCTGCAGCAGCCATTGATGCACACAGCCAAAAACCAAAATTCGTTACGGGTAAAAGTTTGTTGTCGTTTTAAGAACGAACGGCCTTTTAAAAGTATCTTTGTAAGTATCCTTAAAAGTAACTTTATAAGTGTCCTACTATCGTTTGTTAAAAAATAACATATAAATATAAAGATCCGCAATATATCATAGGATTTGCAGGAACTGTAAGAGGAAGTACATCCGTTCTAACCAATGCCGTGTTTAAGCTAAAAAACACAGCAATGAGCAAGTAGGAAGAAAACACAATGCAAACTAGCCAAACTAGAAGCACTATATAAGTACACATAACATTGCTTATTACAAGACTTTCAAACAAGCGGGCAGCAGGATAAGACTATATCACACACGAACAGACTGCAAGCCTGAACTAGTACTCTCTATTATCTCATGGGATGGGATACACAATCACCTTTCCGGTAGCTCTGGAGGTTTCAAGATAGGCAAATGCTTCAACAGGTCTTCGAAAATGGATACGGGCCAGTGGGATCAAGCACCGGCCTCACCTTCCCACTCTCCAAGTAAGGCTTCAGTTTCTCTAATACAGTTCCGGTTGAAGTCAGTATAAATATGATTGCCGGTGGCGTTACTGGACCTACGATTGTCACAACCTTCCCGCCTTCCTTCACCGCCTTCAATGCCCTGTCACTCTGCCCTATTTTTGTTAATTTCAAAAACACAAAACAACATCAGTCATTGTGCTTGATTTGTATAAGAAAAAAACAACGATGAAGATTCAAGAATTATACCAACTGCATCATAAACCACATCGAATTTCTCAGGCAGGTCTTCGAAGTTCTCCTTGGTGTAATCAATAGCCAAATCAGCACCCAAGCTTCTCAAAAGATCGAGTTTTTTCGTGCTCGCTGTAGCTGCTACTTTTGAAGCACCAAACACATGCTTTGCTAGCTGCCTCATATAAACACATTGAGTGTCATGAATAATTCATCAATCAGCTTTACTTAATTAGAGCCTAACTTAATGGAAAATGTTTGCACTTGATTAACATTGTACCTGAATAACATGTGTTCCGACTCCCCCAGCGCCTCCCAAAACAAGGATCGATTTACCGGCAGAGAATTCAACTCGTTCGAGCCCTTCATAGGCGGTCTCAATGGCCAGGGGAAGGCTAGCAGCTTCAACAAAACTCAGATTTTTTGCCTTGAGAGCTAACACTCTTTCTTCTGCAGCAGTGTACTCGGCCAAAGATCCGATCTTTTTCGGCTTATCGAGAGCCTTCTCGTTGAGATCCCCATACACTTCATCCCCCACCTTAAACTTTGTCACCTTGCTTCCCACTTTCACCACCACACCAGCAACATCATACCCTGGAACTGTCTGCAAACAAGTTAATTTAATAAAATTAATATTTTAGCAAACAAGCAGATTGGGTTTACACTAGAATTTGAAGATCAACTCTGATTCTTCAAAGCAAGTTTCTTGTTATTTCTTAACCTTTCAATTTTTATTTTATTTTACAAAATTATAATTTAAACTAATCTACATGTGGGGATTCAAACTTGGATGTCATCATCTAAAGAGGAACGAGCACATTGCTCTGGCCAATTGACGTAAAATACATGTTTAAAGAGGAATGAGCACACTGCTTTAGCCAATTGACCTAATACGCGTCTAAAAAAAAATTATTCTAACAAAAAGATCAACTAGATCAGCTTTGATTCTTCAAATAGATTTAACTAAATTATAAGTTGGTAAAGACAAACTTTTTTAAATCCCCCAACTCACAAACTAATCCTGCAATTGACTTCAGTGAAAAAAATGAAGAGAGAGAGAGAGAGAGAAAGAGAGGCTACAGGGGGTGAAGAGTCAGTGTCCTTGAAGTAGCCAAGCATCCTTTTGAAATCAACTGGGTTGAGAGATGCAGCAACCACCTTGATCAGCACCTGGTCTTCCTTTATTTCAGGAACAGGAACATTCGGATCGAACTTCAAAACATCTGCAGACTTTCCGTACTCTGAGTACACCCACGCCTTGTTTACAGATGGTATGGAAACTGAATCACTTGAAGCTACAGCAGCCGCCATTGATGCACTGCAAAAACCACAAGAACTTGCAAAGAGAAAGGAAAGGGTTTGTTGTTGTTGTTGTGAGCAAATGAGTGAGATAAGATCATAGTCTGATATCTCGACAGCGTGTCGTTTTAAGGGTGAAGGAGAAGGATGTGGAATCTTGGTGTTTGCCTACGTGGCCCTACAAGAAAAAACTCCAAATGATGCATCTAGATGCACTGTTAGTTAGGTTCGTTGTGTGGGATAACATGCCAAATTATGCATGTAGACGCATCGTTATTGGAGGTTCATTTTGTGCGGCAACATGTTATAAAATTGGCGTTCTCTGTTTCTTTTAGTCGAATCTGACATCAACACACCCCTGGATAGTAATGCTAGCGTCGAAGTTTTCTTCCTTATTTATCCTTATCCTTAGCACAAGTTTTCTTCCTTCTTGTTGTCACCTCCAACAAGAAATATAAGAAGAAAAAACCCGACACTTTTTAAGTGACTTGGCTCTTTTGTGAGTAAGTGCTTACGTAAGAAATATTTATTTATAACTTTAGGTAGGTTATTATTTTTTTTTTTAAACAAATGATACTATCTATACTAAAAAAGTGAGGGAGTAGGCTAAGTCTCGCAATAGACTAGCAATAATATGATTCAAATTAATAGAGGTACAGTTAAAAAATATTATTTATTAAATTATTAGAGGTACTGTTAAAAAATATTATTAATTGACTTGTTTATCTTCAATGAATGTTGTATTTTCTAAATAGGATTTCTAACAAGGACAATATGAAAATACAAAAAAGTTTCATGCCAAGAAGTTGTAAACATGCTTAAGAAATTAGAAACATTTTGGCTTCAATAAGAAGGTTCATGTTGATAGAGTATTATGTACTTACAAGTTCAAAGACGTAGCATCAACTCCAAAAACTAAAGCATTGCCTCAGACAATTTTAGATAAATATTTTAGTTCATCTTAAACTTTTATTTATGGTATTGCATATTTTGGTACTCAAATAACTTTAGAGAAATATTTTAGTTTCCTCAAGAAGAGACTAAGAAAAATGATAACTTATTAAAATGTGGAGTTCCTCTTCGCTTAGAAGTGAGGTCTTAGGTTTGAATCTCGTGGATGGTGAATTCGATACAAAATTAGGCTGCCCACTGTGTGGCTTAGCCGAACTCTCCCTCCCTTGGTGTAAAAATAAGGATGTACTAAAAAAAATGTAGAGTTTATTCCTATGCATATCTGGTCTTTTAAGTTGAGACTAGAATCTTTTGTGATTTGAGGTTATTCCTTATAGAGTTTTACTTTAGAGATGTTTTACTGTAGTTCAGGTGTTTTTTATGAAAGCGCTTTCATTAAAAACAAACCAAAGTTTTTATTATAAACCCAATTGCACTTTTATAGTTGATGAAGGGAGAGTGTTGTGCAGGCATTGTCACTTGAGGTTCAATGGGTGAGAACAAGTTACGCAACTCAAGTTTTGTTTCTTATTTTTCACGTCTAAGGCATGCAATTGAAGTTAACTTTCTTGCTTATCACACCTACAACAAGAAAAACAAGACGAAAAAAAAAAAACACCTGTACTTTTGAAGTTGACGCAGTTCAAATGAAGTGCTATATAAGAGGGAATACATCCGCTCTAACGAATACCCGTGTTAAAGCGGAAAAACACAGCAATGAGCAAGTAGGAAGAAAACACAGTGAAAACCAGCCAAGCTCGAATCACTATATATTAATAGATATGATTGCGCCGCCCTTATTACAAGTCTTTTTAAACAGCAGGCAGCAGGATACAAGTATATATCACACACAAACAGATTGCATGGCTGAACTAGTACTCTCTATGATTTCATGGAATGGGATACACAACCACCTTTCCGGTAGCCCTGGAGGTTTCAAGATAGGCAAATGCTTCAACTGTCTTCGAAAATGGATACGGGCTGGTGGGATCAAGCACTGGCTTCACCTTCCCACTCTCCAAGTAAGGCTTCAGTTTCTCTAACACAGTTCCGGTTGAAGTCAGCATAAAAAGGAATGCCGGTGGCGCAGGTGGAACAATTGTCAATACCTTCCCGCCTTCCTTCACCGCCTTCACCGCCCTGTCAGTCTCCCCTATTTTGGTTAATTTCAGAAACACAAAACAACATCAGTCCTTGTGTTTGATTTGTATAAGAAAAAAACAACGATGAAGATTCAAGAACTATACCAACTGCATCATAAACCACATCGAATTTCTCGGGCAGGTCTTCGAAGTTCTCCTTGGTGTAATCAATAGCCAAATCAGCACCCAAGCTTCTCAAAAGATCGAGTTTTTTCGTGCTCGCTGTAGCTGCTACTTTTGAAGCACCAAACACATGCTTTGCTAGCTGCCTCACATAAACACATTGAGTGTCATGAATAATTAATCAATCAGCTTTACTTAATTAGAGCCTAACTTAATTGAAAATGTTTGCACTTGATTAACATTGTACCTGAATAACATGTGTTCCGACTCCCCCAGCGCCTCCCAAAACAAGGATAGATTTACCGGCAAAGAATTCAACTCGTTCGAGCCCTTCATAGGCAGTCTCAATGGCCAGGGGAAGGCTAGCAGCTTCAACAAAACTCAGATTTTTGGGCTTAAGAGCTAACACTCTTTCTTCTGCAGCAGTGTACTCGGCCAAGGATCCGATCTTTTTCGGCTTATCGATAGCCTTCTCGTTGAGATCCCATATACTTCATCCCCCACCTTAAACTTTGTCACCTGTCTTCCTACTTTCACCACCACACCAGCAACATCATACCCTGGAACTGTCTGCAAACAAGTTAATTTAATAAAATTAATATTTTAGCAAACAAGCTAATTGGGTTTACACTCGAATTTGAAGATCAACTTTGATTCTTCAAAGCAAGCTTCTTGTTATTTCTTAACCTTTCAATTTTTATTTTATTTTACAAGATGATAATTTAAACTAATCTACATGTCGGGATTCAAACTTGGGTGTCATCATCTAAAGAGGAACGAGCACATTGCTCTAACCAACTGACATAATACGTGTTTGTCAAAAGAGAAACGAGCATACTGCTCTAGCTAACTGACCTACTCCGCGTTTACCAAAAGAAAATTTATTCTAACAAAAAATCAACTAGATCAGCTTTGATTCTTCAAATAGATTTAACTAAATTATAAGTTGGTAAATATTAAAACTTTTCTAAATCCCCCAACTCACAAACTAATCCTGTATTTGACTTCGGTGAAAAATAAATGAAGAGAGAGAGAGAGAGAGAGGCTACAGGGGGTGAAGAGTCAGTGTCCTTGAAGTAGCCAAGCATCCTTTTGAAATCAACTGGGTTGAGAGATGCAGCAACCACCTTGATCAGCACCTGGTCTTCCTTTATTTCAGGAACAGGAACATTCGGATCGAACTTCAAAACATCTGCAGACTTTCCGTACTCTGAGTACACCCACGCCTTGTTTACAGATGGTATGGAAACTGAATCACTTGAAGCTACAGCAGCCGCCATTGATGCACTGCAAAAAACACAAGAACTTGCAAAGGAAAGGGAAAGGGTTTGTTGTTGTTGTTGTTGTTGTTGTGAGCAAATGAGTGAGATCAGATCAGAGTCTGAGATCTCGACAGCGTGTCGTTTTAAAGGTGAAGGAGAAGGATGTGGAACCTTGGTGTTTGCCTACGTGGCCGTATAAGAAAAAACTCCAAATGATGCATCTACATGCGCTATTGGTCAGGTTCAGTGGGACAACATGCCAAATTTTGCATGTAGACGCATCGTTACCTGAGGTTCATTGTGTGCGGCAACATGGTATAAAATTGGTGTTCTGTTTCTTTTAGTCAAATCTCAAATCAAGACACCCCTGAATCGTAATGCTAGCGTCGCTGATATCGTAATGCATGCTAGCGTCTAAGTTTTCTTCCTTATTAAATCCTTATCCTTGAGTTTTCTTCTTTCTTGTTGACACCTCCAACAAGAAATATAAGAAGAGAAAACCTAACACTTTAAGTAAGTGCTTCAGTAAGAAATGTTAATTTATAACTTTAGGTAGGTTATTATTATTATTTTTTAATAAATGATATTATCTTATATTAAGATCATCTTCAATTCTTGGGGTAAAGCTTAAAATATAAGTTTTAAAACCCTCCAAATCATCTCTAACCATGGGATAAAATTAGCCATGGACCTACCAATGTGACATCCCACATCGCCCAGGGGAGTGATCCTTATATGTATATTCTCATCCCTACCTAGCACGAGGCCTTTTGGGAGCTCACTGGCTTCGGATTCCATGGGAACTCTGAAGTTAAGCGAGTAGCGCGCGAGAGCATTCCCGGGATGGGTGACCCATCGGGAAGTTCTCGTGTGAGTTCCCAGAAACAAAACCGTGAGGGCGTGGTCGGGGCCCAAAGCGGACAATATCGTGCTACGGTGGTGGAGCGGGCCCGGGAAGTGGTTCGCCCCGGGCCGGGATGTGACAATTTGGTATCAGAGCCTAATCCTGGCCGTGGTGTGCCGACGAGGACGTCGGGCCCCTAAGGGGGGTGGATTGTGACATCCCACATCGCCTAGGGGAGTGATCCTTATATGTATATTCCCATCCCTACCTAGCACGAGGCCTTTTGGGAGTTCACTGGCTTCGGATTCCATAGGAACTCCGAAGTTAAGCGAGTAGCGCGCGAGAGCATTCCCGGGATGGGTGACCCATCGGGAAGTTCTCGTGTGAGTTCCCAGAAACAAAACCGTGAGGGCGTGGTCGGGGCCCAAAGCGGACAATATCGTGCTACGGTGGTGGAGCGGGCCCGGGAAGTGGTTCGCCCCGGGCCGGGATGTGACAATTTGGTAGGGGTGGAAAAAATTCCCGAAAATCCCAAACCGAACCGAAAAAATCCCGATCCCAAACCAAAAATTTCCCAAACCGAAATTCCCGAAATTTTCGGGATGCTATCCCGAACCGATCCCGAAATTTTGGTATGGGATTTGGGATTGACTTCTCAATATTTCGGGAATCCCATACCAAACCGAAATTATATATTATTAATTTATATATATATATTATTCTTTTATAATTGATGCTAGTAGTTTCTAATTCATGCTCTGCAACCTGGAATGCCT